TCATCTCTGCAAATACACAAATATGCACAAGAGAAGAAATCAGTTCTTCAGACGTCAACTTGAGGACACCTTAACTGCAATCTCAGTATCTTTGCATTGCTATTAGTGGTAAGGTTATGGTAAAGTTCAAGATTTTTATGGATTGGACTTAAAAAGATTTTTCTCAGAACAGTAATTTTTTATTTTTTTATTTTATTTTTTTTTGCCTTTCTTTCTTGCTTTCATAGCCCAGGTGTAACAACAATTGAAAGGAAAATAAAGATTAAGCAATTGGAGAATTTAAACAAAGCAATATGGGTTACAGACAAACCATGGGACATGGTTTAGTGGTAGACTTGGCAGTGTTAGGTTAACAGTTGGACTTGATTTTAGAGGTTTTTGCCAACACAAATGATTCTATGATTCTCTCTGATTTGGGTCTACCAGCAATGAGTATTAGAAAATGTGTCACCATTGAAAATGAGTACTCTGACATAAAGAAGTCACACAGCTGCCTACTAGAATATATGGCTGTAGAAGTTTATGAAGAAAATGTTATCTCCACACTTACAGCTAGCTAGGTACAGATAGCTATTTTCCATAAAGGAAACTATGTCTAAAAAACTAGCAATGAATATATTCTGGAATATTTGTAGTCATCCAGGGTTACCATCAGGGGACTGAGTTAAGACTCCTTAGTATATATGGGAAGACTCTCTTCATGACCATTAGATCAGGAAAATTACACCAGAAATTAGCTGAAAAAAAGTCCAGCAATCTGGAGTAGGTTCCTTCTATCACCTACCTCACAATAAAATGTGTCACTATTTAAACAATGTTTGCAAAGTGCAACCCTGAAAGAGATGAAATCCAGCTTTAAAGATGATGATGGAATTAGGTACAGTTTAGGGCAGGAGGGACAAGTTGGCAGCAAAAAACGTGCTATTTTACATGTTGCTAACTTGTAGGTAAGTGGCTGATAGTTAAGTTCTTCCCTTTTCATTAAACCTGTTATAGACTGAAGTATTATTCATGTCAATTAAATGACTGGAAAAGCTACATATGCAATGTACACACAGCAAAATTGAGCATTACAATGCTATTATTAAATACAAAATAAGATATGACTTAAATAACTTTTGGCTCATCTTCCAGTAGAGAAATCCTTCTTTGTGGAGCAGGATCACCTACATTATTAAGTGTGATGCTGTAATGTATCTCTGCTAGAGAGTGTGCCACAACATACATTAATCCAACTAAAGCACTGTTCTAGGAAAAGATGGGTAGGGACTCATCCATCTACACACTCAACAGTCACCCCAGGTTCTCTGTCTACCAAAACAGATTGGCCCTTCAAGGGTCCAATCCATCTTATCCTTAGGCAGACTTCTAAAATAGGTTCAGGAATGCCCAGATTTTCCCATTTGATTCAAACAGGAACCTATAATATGCAGAAAATTATGCACTAAATTTAGGGCAAATAATTTTTACCCTGAATGTCTAGTCAAGTCTCTCTACAGTTTGGAACAATAAGTTTCCTTGTATTTTCAATTTGTGTAATTGTGTAATATCTAGTAGACCTTAGCTCTAACCCAGTTGGAGCTGTTTCTGCCCAGTGGATTCAGGTAGACTTTTGCCTCAGTGCAAAGCTACATTGAGACAATTTGTTTAACAGGCATAGTCAGTCAGTATGACCACTTCACACTCCCTGCTAAAGTCTTTTCCAGCTCTTGCTCTCTCCCTTCATGAATGTTATTGCTCTGCAAACCTTTTCCTTAGAAGGTTGGAGAGCAATCAGTATATTTACTTCTATTCAGGCTATTACTGTGTCCAGGCCACAGCCACACCTAAAAGGAGGCTCGAGGATTATACCCAATGGATATAAAGAAAAACAGTTGCAACACAGTGAATTATCAGATCATTTAAACGTATGAAGTCCAAAGGTTCATTGTTGTAAGAGGTGTCCAAGTTCTTGTGAACTTATCTCATGCTGTGCACTTACACCCTTTTTTTCACATCCTTGCAGCCACCTTAGACAAAGTATTCTTAGGCAAGGTAGAATCATCATGTTGGCAGTGCATATGTGGGCTTGTCTGTTCACAGCTCTTTCTCCTGCTTTCTCTCTAAATACATCTTTATGTCAAGCTGTGTATTTGTTCTGTATGTCTGGGGGGTGTGTAGGGAGAGGCCAATTTGCTGATTGTAACAAGTAAATGGCCAATATTTCCACTGACCCAGTAGTTAGCAGAGTTATATTCTGAATCTTTTGGCAACTTTCATGATCAAACTGTAGCAACTGGTTCTAAGAAGTACCTCATCTTTACTCTGTGCAAATTAAACACCAGCTGGATGTGTGAGATACTGAGTGACATCCCCCTCTCCAAGAACATGACCCAGCACTTGGAGAGGAAAAGAAAGATGAAAAGGAAAGGAGACAGAGCTGTCCTGCTGTTCTGTAACACAGGGGGAACCTCACACAGCAGGTTGCAATCTGAACTGTCCCATTTCATTATGCCACTGAGGCAGACTCCTGCAGTGCATTAAGGTTTTAAAATCATTTAGGAAATATGAAGATACATTGTTATTAAATCATTTCATTACACTTCAAAAACAATTTTCTGATGTCCATTTTTTAACATAATAAAGATTGTCTTTCACCAGCGGGGACTGGCAAGTGTATATAGACTGAGTTTCTGTAATAATATGATTAGTATGGAAATGGAATTGGACTGTAAATAATACTTAGGATGATCTTTTATTCAGCCACATCAAGGAATCACACAAAAGCTTGGTTAGAATGACTTCCATGGTGTACTGAAAACATGCAAAATTTATCCATAGAGGATTTTTCATAATCAGCCTAAAGTTATACCTAACAAGGATTTACTCTCAGTTTGTTTGATTGATTTTTGTTGAAATAAAGTGTTAACCTTGAAGACACATTTACATGTAGAGAAAAAATGGTTATCATATAAATATTATCTGAATAGTGTCACACAACGTTTATTTTGCAGAAGAATGTAAAAATGTATATGTATATATGTATAAAATCAGCGTGAGTCATATCTGTGTTCATACAGCATGGCAAAATCAAAAAATTTATTCAGAATTCTAAATTCAAAAATCTACCTATGGGAACTTCTTTTTGATTTCAAGAAGTGAAAACTGAAAAGAAAGCTTTTCTTATTTTACCTTGAAAATTGTGATTAATTACTTTATAGTTATTCTTAAAAATAGTCCAGTAATAGGTAACTAATTAAATCAACTAATTAAAAGTTGATGCAAATCAGAACTCTGCAATGCATCCATTTTTCTTAAAGTACATAAGGGAACTTTCTTTAATTTCTTATCATTGAGCTTTATTTATTTACAGGGTTTTTTTTTTTAAGAGTTAGATGCAAACTGAAAATGTCTTTAGGTGTGAGAATAAGTCAGAAGCCTCAACATATACTACTTAAAGACTGATGGAAAATATAAAAGTGTCATTGGAACTTCATTTGTGTTCACACCAAGAAGCTATGAAGAGAAGTTACTGGAAAGGGGAAGCCTTTAAAAAGCTGTGCACTTGCATCACCTCATGTTTTCAAGGTACTGTAGATTATAAAAGATCTGTATTTAGAACACCTTATGACTAGATGTTTTTTGAATTTCAAACAGCTGGAACTTTGTCAATATTTTTCTCTATCAAAAGTGGTTTAGAAGCTGGGCCTCTGTAGGGGAGCCACATGTGTGGTGAATTCCTATGAATTACAGTCATTTTTATTCAGGAACAAAGAAACAGATTTTCAAGAACTTAAAGAAGAAGTGCATCTTCCCATTCCCTTCTTTCTCTTCTGTGTACAATAGCTATTTCCAATATTCAACTGAACTCATTAAGGTTTTCCTTGGACTTGGCTTGACACATCTTTGAGACAATCTATAATACAACTTTCTGGGAGCTAAATTTCATAGTCATTATGGGTGTGGCAACATGTAATGAGCACTGCCAGGAGTCTTATCAAGGCCAAAGTCTTCATGGTGAAGGTCCATCCTTCAGGAATAGTTAAATGTTTCAACTGGCTTTAACCACGGTCCTAAACTGTTGATCAAAAATTAATAATAATAATCATCTTATTACTTTTGTCTTCTCCACATGAAAATTTAAGGAAGGATAAAGAAAAGCAAGTATGTTGAGAAAGGAGGTTGAAAAAGAAAGGAAATAAAATGAAAGAAACTAAATTAACAGATGCATTAAGAAGTTAGGGAAAATGCAAGAAACAGAATGCACATAGGTCTTATTTTATCAGTAATGGCATTCCAGTTAGGAACTGTCATTTCCAAAACAAATCAAAAAAGAAATGAAAACATAAATACCATCCCAAAACATTCATGGCTACAGTGGTGTTGCTATGAAAGTGCCTCACACAGAAGCTGATTTTAGAAGCTGATATTTTTTCCTCCTAATGGAATGCGCATGGTTTAAATAAGTTAATTATTAATTTAATATCACTGCAATTGGATTTGCTTGTTTTCTTCTTTGTTTGTTTGGGGGGGTTGTTTGTTTGTTTGGGAGGTTTTTTGGGGGGGTTCATTTTTGGATCCTGCTTTGGTTTGGGGGTTTTTTGTTGTTTTTTGTTGTTTGCTTTTTTTGTTGTTTTTTTGTGAAGATGAGTGTTAGGAATATGTAGAGAATAATAAAAACAGAAAAGTTACTGAAAAGCTCAATTTCAATTCAAAGAAAGAGTGTTATACCTGTGAATTGTGGGGTAGGGAATTAACAGCGCTTTCTTTGATGGGACTGTTTTCACAGTCTGTAAAGTGCACGGATTTAAGTACTGTGGTTTGGAAACTAACAGCTGGAAAGAATTTCTTTTGGAGACCAGTGAACTGCTACATTAATAATTTTTATCCAAGAATTTGCTGATTATTTAGGTAGGGACTATCTACAGTAGAAATTCTTCTCAAGATGTTAATTACGAGATCTTCATGTCTGATTTGATCTTTTGTCTCCTGCTTCTTTTACCTTGTTTTACCTTAGCTGCTTTGCATGGAATGAATCTTTGATGTTTACTACTGTTGGTCTCTCTTCTCTGACCACAGAGGACTTAAAGCAAGGTGAGGTGAATCCAACCCCTTGTGTGATTAAACAGAAGACATTTCCTTTGTCTCTTTTTTTCCTTCCCCCCCACCCTCGCATTCCATTGTATTACTGAAGAAAACAATTGCTATATTCAGTTGCTATATATCAGTTGTCAACTGTTCTATGTGAAATAGGTATTACAATCAATGATACATGTACTTTGTAAACTTCAGAATAAAAGCTGTTGCTGAAAAATGGCGAGATGTAGTCATGACAGTAGGGAGCATTAAAAATAAAAAAGTAAAAATAGATATTATGTAGAGGAAAAAAAAGCTCTAAAAATATTTTTGATGAAAAGAAACAAGGCACCTTCTATGCTTATCTCAGAAGGATTTTAATACTTTTTGGTTTGATGCAAATCAGAGCTAAAGAGTTTATGATCGTTCTTTTAGATTCTGTTAGAGATTTGATCTTATCAAGTCAAATAACTTCATACATCAAGCACAGTCATCATTTCTCATTGAAAACCTCTGAATCCTGGAGGTTTGTTACCAATCAATAACAAACCAACTGGCACAATTCCCTGGAGGAAGCCACTGTCACATTGTCCTAGCAGCCAAAAGCTGAGGTGGTGAGGGCATTATTAGTTTCAGCAGCTGAAGTGGCAACAGGAAAGATTCCCAGTGTACTCCAAGCCTCACACTTGGCTGCTGGCTGTACACCAGAGCACTCCTGAAGGAAGTCAGGCACATGACACTGTAATAGAGTTTTCAGCTTTGTCTGATTGCATTGCAAACACCATACATATTGAAACACTCTGGCAGCTTCCTGGTGCTCACAGTGAGGAACCTGAACCTTTTGACCTCAAACATCTTATTAAAACCTTTGCTGGACTGTGTCTCTGCAAGGGAAAAAAACAAGAAACTACTGGACTTTTCTCCTCTATAATTCATTCAAGTAAGCCTTTTCTGAGTAGAGGACCTTGGCTTTGATGTTAAAGTCTCCTAATTGGAAGGAAGTGAAGTGTTAGCCTGTCAGGTTATTAGTCTCTCATCAAATACTTTAGGAGGTATCAGAACACTGAAGTTCTCACACTGTTGCAAAGAGAGCATGGAGTGGCCTTGTTTTAGTTAAAATATTTAAACTTTGCATGTCTAACAATTTCTCCCCAAATTTAATATAAGTGGAATTGTACCTTGATATTTCTTTCCTTTTATCTGTACTTTTTCCTCTCAGAGCTTCCTCCTTTACATTGCCTACAGCACATCAACTCCCGTTACTAGGAATGTGGGGGATAACTGGTGTAAGCTATAAAGTCTAGGGATTCGTATTAAAGCCCTGATTCAAACATTCAGGCATTTTGTGCCTAATGGAACTTACCTCTTTGCTGTTTGACTGTGAAACACCTACTTCTGTATTGTTTCCACACAGGAAAGTCATCTCTCAGAAGGATGTCCTTACAGTTAGCAACACTAAAATCCAAATGTTTCTGAAGGATGGTTTTATTTTAAAGCGTCAGCACAGGTCCAGGCTTTATTATTTGCTCAGTTTATAGTATTTACTTGCATTCAATCAAGTTGAATTTAAAAATATGTTGCTGCTTTCCTAATTACTGGTATTTTTCTGCATTACAGACTGGGCACCCAAACATAAGGATGGTGTGTTTCTATTTCAGGAAAATCCAACTAGGCCAAAATAAGAGTTGAATGGAGTCAAAGTCTTGCAGGGATTTGACTAAACTCCTTCCACGATCGTGCAAAGTTGAATTCTGTGTAATTTCTATCCTTTTAGTTGAAAATACTATGCAAAATGTCACAGTGAAGAAAATCTGTGAAACAATATAAAATAACTATGTTAAAGGAAATTTCTGAGATGCTAGTGCACACCCTTTGGAGTTATGAAGATAGTTATTCAGTCACATCTGCTCTATTTATAGTTTACAGTATGAGCCTAAAGAAATTTTGTACTACGAGTGTAAATGTTTCTGTTCTACAAAGTTTTCCCTATTTTGATTTGCTTAGTAGCAGACTTATGCAAACAAATTACCTGTGGCATTTCATGCATATCTTCCATAATGCTAAGTTTCCTATTGTATTGCAAGATGATGTCCATATGAGAGCAAATCTAATGCATCTGTGCCCTTACTATGCATGTCTTTTTCCTGGCTGAATATGATCCTGTTTTCCGCTATGATTACAATTGTTTCTTTTTCATGCAAGTGTTTGAATGATAGTCAGATCTCTCACTTAAGCTCATGCTTGATTCTGGCAGCACTTTCATCTGCTTTTGGATGGGTCATGAGTTTTGTCTTTTAAGACTTCTTTAAATTTCCCTCCTCTGTTTCATTTTAGTGATCTTGTTAACTCCTGCAAGCCATCTCTGAATGTTTAGTCTTTTATCTTTAAATATTGTAAGGTTTCACACCTCATAATTATTTTGTTGACCCTGCTTTTCTTATTTGGAAAAATCCTTTTTTCTTTGATAGTTTAAGCAATAAGGCCCAAACAGTTTCTTTCAGTTTAGTAAGTTTGATCATTCTTTATATATGCAGGCTCCAAAGATATCCATGGCACTTCACCAAATATGTGTGTTTCACGATGAAGGTAACTTACCTGTCTAAGCTCATTATGAAAATCCCCTCAACAATCCTCTTCCACCCAGTTCAGCTGACCACAGGTCTGGATGCAAGAGCTAATGACTTAATTATTTCTGACACTTTTTTGCATCATTCTGAATGAGAATTTAGTTCAATTTGGTTTATTGTCATATGTCTTGTTTTCTCTCAGTATTAGATATTGACATAGTTTGGACTTTTCACAGAATAGGAGCATGAAAACCAAACACTTTATTCATACAGCTACTTTTTCAGACAGATTCAGTTTGTGTTTGAGTAAGCAACAAAGAGCATTTACAAGTCACTGCCTGTGGTATTTCAAAAGTGGGAGAGCATGGTTTGTGCTCAAATGCCACTCCTGTCCCTACACAGGCATTACATCTCTCATGTTTGTATCATTAGCACATGTCACTACACTAATATAGACCATTGAGGAAAATATTCAATTAAAGAAAATTTCAGACTCATCCAGAGAATTTTACAAATAGTCTTTCTCATAAACATTCATTCCCCTTTCAGGATAATTCTGCCATGAGCTATCCCTTTGGCTAATTCCTTCTGCATTTTGTGTGTACTTTATATACCATCCTCTCCAATTCAGCTCATAAACATCATATTTTTCAATACTGAATGCCTTAGTGAAGTCCAGACACCTTAAACTTACACCTTTCATTTATGTTAAATAGTAGTGTCTTAGAAAAACAAAACAGTTCAGTGATGTGGCTACAGAGAATTGATGTGACATTTTATTTTATTTTATTTATACTTTTATATCTACTTATTTTTTTCTCTTTTAAAAGTTTTACCTGGACCAAAATCTTAGCTGTTAAATTCAATACAAATATGTAAGACATTTTCTTAGCAGTGATTATTAATGGCGAGGTAAATAAACAGATGATATTTTCCTTGCAATGTCTTGAGTTCTCCGTTACTGAATTCCAGATTGGGCCTTCTTTCCTTTGATTTTCCCTAACCTGCCACACTGCCAAATAACCACTAAGATTGTGTATATCATTTACAGAAACTGTGGCTTTATAAGCCCTGGAATACATAACCCTTAACACAGACTACTTCATCTGGATATGTGCTGACTTGGAGCAGCTGAGAACCTCTCCCTTGTGTCCGGATTTACTGCCCATCTGGAAGACACTGAAGCTAGAGTTTATACAGAACTGGGTCATAACTTAAGCCACATTAAAGAAGAGATCAGAACAGTCATATATAGAATTCCTTTCAAGCTGCATTTGCTATTAAACTGAAAATAGCTCCAATTTCCAAAACAAAGGTGAACCTCAAATGAAGCCAGCTCTGAGGTTGGTGAACGGGCTGTGAGTTACATCAGCGCTTAGTCACTGGCAGCAAGTCCCCATGGCAAGGGCAAAGCGTGAGTGTGGCTATGCATGATTGGCATACCTACGCTGCCTTAATCTCAGCCATCTGGATGAAAATCCCATCAGGAGAGCCCGAGCTCGGCAGGGTTTCAGCAGGAGCCTCGCAGTCTGGCTGAGCCCAGCGCAGCTGCGTGCTGCAGGAGCTGCAGGTGGTATCTCTGTGGCTGCCCAAGGAGGATGGAAGCGGCTCCATCGCACCTCTCATCTGGGGCGCACGCACCACGGCTGCGGGGACACCGCGCATCCTTCCCAGCGGGAAAGAGCCGCCACACACAGCCCTCTCCCTTGGCTTCCTTCGCGCCTCTTCTTCTGGCCTAGCAGTAAAAGCACAGCTTGCCAAATTGCCAGACTTTATCCAGAAAAAAAGGGCCACACAGCTTTTCAAAGGAAACTTTACCAGAACGTAATAAGCGGAAAATAATTTTGTCTGAAATTTCCCAGAAATAGCCAGTCCGAGGAGGAAACCCAGCATGGAGCATTAAATAAAGGAGTACTTTAGAAATTATGTGAGGCCTTATGTGATAATAGCTCCTTGTAGTGCAGAGTTTGGCAATTGTAAAATAGGCAATGACATCAGTTCTGCCTATAATTTGCTATTATTAAAAAAAAAAAACACCAAAAAACCAAGACTTTCAATTGGATTAGCTGCATATTGTATATAAAAAAATTCCATAATTATAATTTTTATGACTTATAAGACATTACATATTACTGTCAAAATCTGCCTTTCATCACTGCTGCTTCTGTAGTCATGCTAGTGACATCTGAGTGCAGAACATGGACAATATGTTCTTAAAAATTGAGATTTTGATAGCCCATGAAAAACTGCTAATCTGCTGGTCTGGAAACCTTTGTTCTGAAAGCCGCTGGTCCTTCGCTGTATCATTCAGATTACTAAAATTGTCTGATCAAGAAACTTCTAGATTATTTCTACTTTTATCCCCCATGCCTTCAATTTTCCTGCAAATTAAGCATTCTAAAAGTTGTTTATGTATTAGCTTTTTATTTACTCTGTTAAATAGAATTCGCCATATTAAAGAGAATCAATTTCTCCTGGTCCAGAGTACAAGGATTACCATAAAGGTTCCCATCACTCTAGCCATTTACTTGAAGCAGAAAGTTGCTGCTGCAAGCTTTCATTTCCTACATGCTTTCTTCAAGGAGAACCATGACTGGCTTTCTAAGGAAGAATGTTTTGTTCAGCTAATGAATAAAGCTTGCTCTGGATCTATTGCAATTGTAGTACCTGCTTCTCTGTCTGTTGCACAACAGGATAATTGACCATTTATTCACTGGGTCAACCGAAAATGCTTGACCATAGTAATAACTGGAGGGAACACAAAAGAATTTTCAATACTACAGATTAAAGGGTACCTTACTTCATTAGAAGGGTAATTTTTCATCTCAGCTTATACGTCAGGCAATCTGATTCCTTTCTTAGCATTAAACTGGCACTGTTTCATATTTAAAAGTGCTATGCAGATATTAACTAATCAATCAGTTTTCTTATTATAATATTTTATCCTGTTCTGTGGTGTCAGGTTTGCCATATTTTAAACTACTACAAATGCCAATCAGGAGATGTGAAGTGCCCCTTTTGATGCTTAATACCTTCATTTTGCTTAAATTATGGCTGAACTGAATGTTCTTGCAGCCATGGTTACATGCCTGTCATCATGTTTTCTGAAACACTACATTTTTATCTCAAATATAGTTTTGTAACAGCATTCTGTGGCACTGCAATGTCGTTCCGATTGGGAACGGCTATAAAGAACGACATGGACTCTCAAGGGAGTTTCAACAGGAGAATTCTCTGGTTTATTACTTCAGGCTTGTCTTATAGACAGATACGTGGAAAGTACAGAAAGGAAACTCTTATTGGTTAGTAAAGTGCTACATTACCATCATTGGTCAGGGGCACACTACCCCCTTGACTTTCTCCTGCAAGGGAAAACAAGAGGACTGCAAAACAACACCTGCAAGGCTGTTTAGTGTCCCTGAGAATTGTTTTAATTCCTTCTCATATTTTTCCCAGGCTACTTTCTCAGGCAGCCTGAGGAGCTATGCGGCCTGTAATTTGTACAGACACTGTGGTTCAGATTTAGCATCCATACTGCAAAGTATGAAAAATGTAAACCCCGATGCATTTGTATAGTAAGCCACAAGAAAATTATCATTTACAACACATAGAAGAGAACAGAATTGTCTATTTCTGTTGGAAGGAACCTGTAGTGGACATCCAGTCCAAGAGCCTCATCAATTTTGGGCTGACTAAACATTAAAGCACTTTGTTAAGGGCATTGTACAAATGTCTGGCATCTTTGGGACATTGACCACCTCTCTAGGAAGACTGTTGCAATGTTTGGCCATCCTCTCAGTAAAGAAATGCTTCCTAATGTCCAGTGTAAACGTCCCCTGGTACAGCACTGAACCTTTCCATGTGTCCTTCCCACAAAGCTCCCACAAAGACCACAGTACCTCTGTCTCAATTTCCTTTCCTTTTCAGGAAGCTTCAGGAACAATGAGATCCTCCCTCAGCCTCCTTTTGTCCAGACCAGACAAACCCAGAGCCCTCAGCTGCTCCTCATGGGACACTCCAATCCTTTCACCAGAAACTTGCCTTGTGTGATTTTTCTTGGTGCTTTGGAAATAAAATCCCATTTTAAACTCCTATATAGGGCTTATATCTTTAGGCATTGTAAATGAGTATAATGCTACTAGTGTCCATGAAATTATGATATACCTCCACTATTTTCTTGGCATTCCTGTAAAATCAGAGGAAGCTCCCGTGTTGGGGGCAGATTTTAATGACTGTCTCATATGTGCTGGCAGACTTATGAACATCTTTTATTCATCTAAGGGATGAGCAAAAGAAAATAGTTTCTTTCTAGTTCAGCTTAGGAAGCGAAGTGAGAGCATTATCCAGCTTGGCAGTTAAAGGCAGTGAGAGTGGTGGTCAGTGGTTTTGACTCCAGCATTGCTTCTAAACCTACCAAACTCCACCTATGAGCTGTGTGCCAGCAGTAGCACCTTACAGTGCCACTTTGGATCATGCAGGAGGTGGAAATTTGTATGAGAGTTCTCTTTTAAATACTATTAATAACTTTTATAATTTTTACTCTTAACACTGATAAAAAGTGGATGAAATCAGGTAGAACAATAAAAGAAAACAAATAAAGCAATATTTGATTTTTATTTTGTAGCTTTGTCCCACTGGCTGTTAAAGACATTACTCTAAACTACTTGAGCCTGTGAATAAATCATCTTGTCTACACACCATGCCACATTCTTGAGATTATTTAATTTTGCCTTGGGAAGACGTTATAATTGTTAAAATTTTCCTGTATTCTGTTACTCATTTACTTAGTTGTTAATAATACATTGTACTTCAGATATTAGGAATGTGTCTAGTTTACAGAAGTTTATAATCAACACTGTTTGCTCTGCTGCTCCTTTCAGAGCTTATGAGCTTGGTATTAAGAACTGTACACAGATTTGTAGTTATGACACACCTTAGGTAGGTAGCAAACTAGGTAAGTACATCTGAAGTTTAGCTGTGGTCCAGGCCTTTAGATGGTTAGAGTGGAGAAAGCACCAGAATAAATCCAGTTTAAATCCATGAAAGAATCTGCCTCCAGGCATGTGGATTGGTGCCAAGACACAATTTCTGTCAGCAAAGTCAACACTTATTGTCCAGTGATCTCAAAAAGAGTGGATTTTTAAAATATTTTTCATAAGTTTTCTCAAAATTGCCTCAACAAAGGAATGTTTGATGGCCACTCCAAGAACTGTTATAAAAGTGTATTTCAAGAATCATGAAAATAATAAAGGGCTTATGTTCCACATTCTTGAGGAAGTGCAAGTCTATGTTTGAAATATTTCCTTATAGAATAACGTCACGATGGCATAGCACACTCCTGTGACAGTATCTGTAACATTAATATAAAATCATCTGAAAATCTAAGAAAATTTAAATGTTGGGGATTTTATTTGGTTTGTTCATTTGTTTCCCAGGTAGAAGAAGTGTGGTGTCAACACATCAAGTGCTTGTGGTAGATTTGATTGGAGCTGTTCCCAGACAGGGTTGCACTTAGGAATTCTGGCTGGATTTGGGCTGTCACAGCTGCTTGGTAATTCTCCACCTGTCTGTTCCATGTATTCATGCAATTCAATGAAGCTGTGCTTCAAAACTTCCCAGACCGTCAATGTCTTCTACTGACAACTTCAACAAGAAAATCTTACAGGTGCTTTCACCTCCATGTGCTGAAAGAGGAGCTGGTGAAGGAGAAAGCTGGCTTAACAGCTTTGTCCAGCCATTGAACGGAGAGTTTTGGCTGGAACTTGGGGAAAAAGGGTTGGAATGAGAATCCCAGGATTCATCCCTCAGTGCTGGGGAAGTTCATGGAGCAGATCATCTTGAGTGCCATCATGTGGCATGTACAGGACAACCAGGGAATCAGGCCCAGCCAGCATGGGTTTAGGAAAGGCAGGACCTGCTTGACAAACTTGATATACATCTATGACAGAGTGACTTGCTGAGTGGATGAGGGAAAAGCTGGGAATGTTGTTTGTCTAGGGTTTGGGAGAGCTTTTGACACCATTTCCCACAGCATTCCCATCCCACACCCTGGAGAAACTGGCTTCCCATGGACAGGTGCATTTTTTGCTGAGTGAAAAACTGATTGGATGGCACGTATCAGAGAGGGGTGATGAATGAAGTTCCATCTTGCTGGTGTCTGGTCACTGATGGGGTTCCTCAGGGCTCATTACTGGGGCCAGTCCTGTTTAATATCTTTATCAATGATCTGGATGAGGGGATCAGATGCACTCTCATTCAGTTCACAGATGACACCAAGTTGGGCAGGAGTGCTGACCTGCTGGAGGGCAGGAAGGCTCTGCAGAGGGATCTGGACAGGCTGGACTGATGCTGAGGCCAGTGGTGTGAGGGTCAACAAGGCCAAGTGCTGGGTCCTGCCCTTGGGTCACAACAACCCCTGCAGTGCTACAGGTTGGGGAAGAGTGGCTGGAAAGTGGCCAAGAGCAAAAGGAGCTGAGAGTGCTGGTCAGCTATGGCTAAACATGAGCCAGGGTGTGCCCAGGTGGCCAAGAAGGCCAGTGGCACCTGGCCTGTATCAGCTTTAATGGTCCCAGCAGGACCAGGGCAGTGACCTGACCGTCCCCCTGTACTTGGTGCTGGTGAGGCCACATCTCAAGTGCTGTGTCCAGTTCTGGGCCCCTCACTACAAGGTCATTGAGATGCTGAAGTGTGTCCAGAGAGGGGCCATGAGCTGGTCTGGATACCGAGTCACATGAGGAGCTGCTGAGGGAGCTGGGGTGTTTACCTGGAGTAAAGGAGGCTTAGGGGTGATCTTGTCACTCTCTACAATTCACTGAAAAGCTGTAGCCACGTGGGGATTGGTCTCTTCTTCAGGCAACCAGTGACAGAGCCAGAGGAAGAGACCAGAAGAGGATCAGGTTGGGTATTAGGAAATATTGCTTGATCAAAAAGACTGCTGGGCATTGGAACAGGCTGCCCAGGGAACTAGTGGAGTCACATTCCTGCAGGTATTTGAGAGATGTGTAGATGTGGCACCTGGGGACATGTGGCACATGGTTCAGTGGTGGACTTGGCAGTGCTGGATTAACTGTTGGACTTGATGATCTTGAAACTCATTTCCAACCTACATGATTCTGTGATTCTACAAGGAGTCAAGGCCAAGGACATGCTTTACTTACCAGAAAGGCAGTATTGATCCTAGAAGAAAAGGCAACGACTGAGCACCAGTCTCTCTCATTCATCAGGCTGGTAAAACCAGAAATAAATGCAATTAAAGTCGGTTGCAGGCAATACATTTCAGAATACAATCAAGTCTTGACTTCAGATGTACCTTGAGATACAAGTATGTGTTTTATATGTTTTTACCAGTGAAATTCTCTTGTTTTCTTGCTTGCTTCTTTCTCAAGTATATCCTTGGCATTTGGCTCCAGTTTTACAATAGATAATCCAATGGATGTTTGTCCCTGATTTGCTTGTCTCTAACTATGTGACCCCATTTCACTGCATTGAAAGAAATGTAGATCGGTTCATAGGCTATACTAGAATGGGTATTTCTCATCCCTAGTTCTCCTGCAATTTAACATATAAATAAGTGCTCAAGACTGTTTCTCAGGAGGGGGGGTGGGAGGGTGAAGCCATGTGAAGTGCTTACTGCATCTCAGAGAAATACATCTGGTGTG